GTTTCTTTCCCCCTACCCAAAGGATTTTATAATCTGTGGGATACCGGAGAGCACCAGAACAGAAATAAAAAGACCATTCTTGTTATTTCATCCCGTTCTTTCTATCAGATTAAAAAATGTAACTATCCCAAGCAAAGTCCATAATGTTCCCACTTATATAGGAATGCTCTTTTGGCAATGTGAGGGTAATGAGGAGAAACTTTCAGCAGCTCAGCACCATGACAGGTTCATGCATGCCTCAGTTAAAATGCAGAATTGCAGAATCAATGTAGAGACTCACCAGTAGTGGCTGTGTTAGGTTTTTTCCCCTTACTAGTTGAGCTTTGCTGGCATTAGCATCAAAGGAAGCATAAGCATAGGCTGACTGGGTGGCATCTCCTCTATGGGCTTAGGAGAACCAAAGGACTGAATCTTGCTCAATCAGTCCAAGGACATTTGCACACAAAATCTAGGTTATTCATTCAGGTCAATGAATATATTTTTTAAATCAAGATTCGTACAAGATAAGAAAAGTGCCATGAAATGTTAAGTACACTAGACAACAGCATAAGATCACACAAAAAACTCACTAACAAAGAACTAAACCGATGCATCTGCAGGTGAGATGTGTATCTAGAGTCACATACTGGGCAGAAGTCAATTTATGCATTTACATACCTGAAACAAAACCTATCTTCAGTTACGTTGTCTAAAAGAGGGATTAGCAAAAATATAATATTTAAATGAGAGGGTAATGCAACGTTATAGCTTGGAAGAAAGAAAAAGAAGCCTGTCTGAGAACAGAAAAACTTAGCAAAGACAGGAGGCTGACCACAGAATCCACCCCAGCACGAGTGCCAGAATGAGCTGCTAATACCACAAAATACTTGAACATGTAGGCTCACAGTCAGTGAACCCATATTAATTCTTCGGACTTTTTCTCTCTCTCTTAATTGTAAGTTTCTGGATTTTTGGCTCTTGCTCATCTCCCACTGACTTATAAGTACTCAGAGATGCCAAGAAACTGAGGACGATTACAGTCCCGAGATGGAGACTGGGAGTTGTGCGCTGTCTGCCTGTGGCCAAAATTTTCTCTCTTGCTAAGGTGAAAGCCACATAAAAGGTGGTGTCCAGCAACGTTCAATCCTCTGCCTGGGGAGTTACTTGTATGACAAAAAGTTACAACTGATCACTCAAAAATTAATTCTTGGGAACCCAGAGATCAGTTGGAGAACATATAAGCCTCCACCCCTTGGATTGTCTGCAATTCCCATTTCTGATCGTTCCTGTGAAGGGCAAGGAGTGCGGCTGTACTAACAGTCAGAAGACACGTCTTGGGTCTCGCCGTTGCATGTGCCGCTGCCTGCCGAGAGCTTGGGCACGTTGGGCACCCCGGAGCGCCTGGCCTCACCGCCGGGACGGTGCGGCGGGCAAAGCACCGCGGGTGCACGGGCACAGCGGGCGCATCCCGGTGTGATCCTGGGGGTGGATTGAGTTGGCCAGTGGACACCAACTGCGTGACGGGCTTCTGGTAGAGGACATGTACTAATTACCAACAGAGCTGTCAGTCACGTTAACACTGGAATATACAGTGGTGCTACCCTACATTCTCGCGCTGGAGCTGCAGTGAGATCCCAGATCATTGCGGGCGCTGTCTTGTTAAAATGTCTAACACGGGAAATAGAGCAGGTGCTGCTGATGTGACTTACACCGTCCAAAAAAGCAAACAGTTGGGTTAAAGAGGAGACGTAAGCCTTGCTCTCAGGAGCGCGGTGCTGCAGCTGACCACCACGGCACCACCGCCCGGCCCGAGGCGTGCTCAGCACACCTCCGCACCGCACATCTCCAGCTCCAAACTGGGCTCTGGCGGCTTTGTGCCCGCAGAGGCTGTGACCCGGTATCGCTCCTCTGTATTAAAACGGCACCACCAGGCCAGGCCAGCCCCGGACACGCAGAACGGCAAAACCTCCACACGCCCGGATTCAACACGGCGCTTCGGGGGTTCGTTAAAGCTCCCAGAGCCGAATTCGCGAGGCGGCACCGCGGCTGCGGGAGCTCCGCGCCGGGCTCGGGGGTTCGCGTCTTCGTTTAGATGCGTGCGAGTCTGCAGGTGTCGGAAGGAAATACCGATATTGTCAGAAATTTCATATTGATCATGAAAACAGTCTGGCAGCGCAGCATCACTCTTCGAAAGTGACTCCATTGGAATTGACATTCTGTAGACAGCGCAGGGAATGGGTTTATAATTCAGCTGACAAGAAGAATTACATTTTGCTGGAGCAACTGTAGGGTTGCCTTCCCCTCTTTGCAGGTGGCCTAATACAGATTAGAAATGGAATTCACGCCTGCTGTCTCCTGAGCTGGAAAGAAGGGGCATATATATTCAAATAAAGCTTTGAAATATGTTTTTTGTGCGTTTTGGTTTTCCTGCTAAAAGAGCTGTAAGGTTTAAGATGGATCTGAATAGACAGTTAATCACATATTTTAAAAATCTCTCTCTTCCTTACAGGGGAAAAGTAATTAATCTTTGGTTTCTTTTTTTAAATTAACATTTTTTTTTTATGCCACAGACTGTGCTGAGGAGAAGAAAAATCCTTATTTTGATTTTTTTTTTTTTTAAAGATGTAAAGCAACTGTACCTTTAATTGAGTGAAACGGGCTTCTTCACATTGACGGCTTCAGGCATCCAGAGCTATTTGGAGAGTAGATAACACACTGTTAAGATGTGTGGGTCTGAGATGGGGTTTGCATTACCTTAGTAACGTGCTTACTCCGTTCTGCTCTAAAGTCTGTCTCTTACAATTAGGACACTCATTGTGGCACAACAGTCAGCTGCAACCCTGACAATGACAAGGCTGTAACTGCCTGCCAGGTGTCTCGCACCAGGCAATCTTACTGACCACATCTAGTCCCTAATCTCTACATACCAAACTGTCTTACTTGCCCTATAATCTTCAGTGACAAACTTCACGAGGTCAATACCGGGAGCTGCTTGTGGAAAGGGGGCTGTTTCTGCAGAGCTCTGTGAGCTGGCAGGGCTCTGCGTGGGAGCACAAGTACCCAAACTCTCCAGGAAGGCCAAAGCAGGGAGTTTGGGAGAATCTCTTCTGGCTCAGCCATCACCAGCTCTCCTTTTGCCCCCACCCGTTAATTCCTCTTTGGTAGCGTGGCCTGTTCCCCACCGCAGCTCTGTTCATCACAAGGCCAGCCGGCTGCGCGGAATTGATCTGGATTACCTGTGACTGTACTGACAGCCACCTCAGAGCAGGGAAGGAGATACCTGCAAAGCAGAGACCACAGATCTGCAGCCATACGGATGTGCCCTTGCCACCGGCACAGAGGGAAATCCTGGCTCTATTGCTCCCTTCCCTGCTGCCCTCAAACTCTCATGGTCTGTGTGGTTTGACTCTGCTGTGGTTTACCAAAGGCTATAGCTGAACTTAACTGCTCTTAAAAATGCCATTTTGCAAAGGCATTTACAGAAGCATCATAAAAGCCAGATGACCTTTCAGATTGCTTGCGGTGTTTATTTCAAGGCAGGTGAAAGAGCAGTAAATACTGAGCCAGGAGAACTCATCTCTGAAAGCACTATCAAGTAGAAGTTTTCCAAGATAAAACTAATTTCAAGCGTTACGGTAGAGAAATAAAACCAGATCTGTGTCAGTACCAGTGATAGCTATGGGGCTGCTCTTGGGGAATTGTTTTGTCTCTGTTCATATGTATATTATCACCCTGAATATTTGCATGGGCCTTCTGATTAGCTGCCCCTTCCCCTTCCCTCTCTATAGGGGAACAACTTCAAAAAAAAAAAAATCCCGAAACCCCACAACTTGAAAACATACACTCAAAACCCAGATGCAATTCATCAACCAAAGGCTCTTGAGAGGGTAACTAAGCTTTGTAAACTGCCCTCTGCTCCCCTCACTAACCTGCCTGCGACAGCTGTGCAGAGATGGGCTGTGTGGCACTGAGGGAGCTGACAGACCCTGCTGGGAACCTGCCAGGTCCAGCACCCTGCCCTTGGCTCCAGAGCCACAGCACCGCACCCGGCACCAGCCTGTGCTGGCAGAATGCTCGCATTTCTCATTGGGCTGCTCACCCTCTCACTCGGATGGCATTTTTCTTGCTCTCACCAACATGCCCTGGACGTGCAAGTTATTCCTCAGAGCTGTGAGCCACAGCGCTGCACAACTGTAATGGCCTTTTGTTCCATGTGCGAGGTGACTGTCTAGGACACTGCATGTTTTCCTCATTCCCAAGGCTGAGCTGGCAGCTTTGTGCCTCCTCCGCTTGGCAGAGATGCGGGCAGCACTCCTTCCTGTGCATCTGTGCCACGTGTGCTGCCACAGGTCCCACCGCCCTGCAGCAGCCGCCTCCTGCCAACAGGTACAACCGGAACCTACAACCCAGCGTAAAGGGAGAGTACAGGCAGCCCAGGGAACAGCACAGAGCAGGAAGCTGTCTGCCTTCAGGTCTTCCCTAACAACCCACATACTGCTATTGCATGCAAGGGAACAGGCAAATGACTTGCAGAAAGCTGTAGGTGTGGTGAAGTGGTAGAGGCGGAGGTGCTGGGAACCCACCATCTGCCCGCAGCTCAGCGCCCCAGTAAGGGGCCCTGCTGGGACTGGTGCTGACACTTAAATGCAGCCACCCAATGCCAAGGGCAGCCGCTATCGCAGTTCAGCCAGGCAGCTCATTTAGGACTGAAGCTTCCATAGCATAGTTAAAAACAGCTCATGTAGGACACAGATTTAAGCTAGTTTACCAGGCTTCTGCACAGCTGAGCTGGTCCAACCAAGCAGGGACAACGGTGTCCAGAAGGAGGATAGCCCAGACTGAAAAGTTAGGCCAGTATCACAAGCCTTTTCCGGAAAACCTAGTTGCTGCACATCCTGGCAACTTTTCAACTCTTAAGTGCTTTTAGCTCTGAGTCTGTTAAAAGCAGGTGTAGTGAGGAATGTCAAAGGATGGACAGTCCCATTTTCAGGCCCACGGGATCGTGACTTGATTAGCAACAGATGCTGCCCCGCAAAGCACTGGTAAAGGCACATCCAGAATCTGAATGAGGTCAGAGGCTCACACCCGACATTAGAAATCCATGAACTTCTTCCTGACTTTGATAATATTATCCACAACAGATATTCCTATTGTGTCCTGGGTCAAGGGGAGTCTAACCAAGCAGGGACTAAATTAACGAGACACTGCTTGTTTTGAAGAAGCCTACACCATTAACTTGGGCATTGCTTTACAGACATCTCACTGTTCTGTCTTTCAGTACATCGGTAGCTTGGACGTACCCAGGCCCAACAGCCGTGTGGAGATTGTGGCAGCCATGAGAAGGATTCGGGTAAGTTCAAAAGAGCTGAACCCCACCTGGAATAAAGGGTTACATTCACTGGAGTGACTTGGTTGCAGTGTGCTGTTCTGCATTCCCCCCCCCAACCCGTTCTATCTGGAGCTCAAATCTCAGCACAATCAGGATTGTCACAACCTCCTCCAGAAATTCCCAAGGCATATTAGGACAGACCCATCCCCTGCTCTTTGCGAAGGGCTCAGTTAGCAAAACTCAGACATAAAACCCTAGTCTCTGCTGAGCAGGTATTGGAATTCTTGAACCTAAGAGATGCATTTAGCCTGTTTGGATTTTTGTGTGTATGAAAAAGGAGATGTACACAATCAGCTCCACAAAAGCACAAATTCATTGGCAGTTCCAAATACATTATGTTGTTATATATTGAAATAGAAGTGGCCTGGCAGATGTTATGAATGTAAATCCCATCAGGCTAGACTTTGTGGATTCTGCTGCTTATGGAATAATTTGCTGCTTTCCCCCATCCTCCAGTACAGTTTTACAGTTCCTGTTTCTCATCATCAAGTCTGCGCTCTTCCTCCTGTAGCCCTTTATTCTCCAGAACAGCCTGTGAATGGTCACCAGATTTAGCTACGATTAGCAGGGTAGCTAGCTTACATCTGCTTCATGTATAACCAGTTCAAGTGTATCTACCCCAAAAGGCAGTGCAGCTCTTGTGCCTGGCTCAAGTTTTGCAGGGGTCTTAATCCTGAGGCAGTTCATATGTCTCACATCAACTGAAGCAGGTTTGAGAATCTTCCACTTAAAGCTTTGAAGGGATTATCCTATTTCCCTCCGCTCCCCCCGCAGTGTTTAACCATCTAATTTTCATTTAGAATAGTGCTTTTTAAACTTAGCCTGTAACCGGCTGGGGAGCTGATGTATTCATCTCCAGCCAAGCTCAGAAATGACATTCCCCTGCCTTTGCCTGCTCAGACTATTAGTACAGCTCCTGCTCAGAACACGGTGCAGCAGCAATCTAAATTGCCTGGTTATTTATGGAACAGGTGAACATCTATAGGAGCTAAAGGCAATAGGCGAGAACTACCAGGGCAGCTTAGATGCTGGTATAACTATCGGTAATTTTTGAGCTGAATCAATATTTAGCATCAGATTTGATGCTTCACTTCTGCCAATCTTTGACTGGCTAACACTCTTGCAAGAAAAAGCAGACAGTATTTTTTAAAAACCAGTTTCTAGGAAGTGGTGCATTCTGTTTTCACCCCTGCTATTGCCATGATGGTATCTAGCTCAGAGTCGTGGCAGGGCAATAGCATGCCTGAGTGCTACATGAAGCATATAAGAAACCACTCTGCATTCATGGATGCCATCAGTTAATCTTATCACACAATATTTTTAAAGTAAGCATCCTGTATTCTATACTGGGTTTTTAATCTTGGAAGCCCTTTCCAAAAAGGGAGGGCTTCCCTTTTCATGTGCGTATTGTACAGCAGGATCTTATTCAGACACTTCCTGGCTGCTGAGCGGAAGATGCTCCTCTATTGAAGATAGTTAATTGGCACTGATCCTTAATTAGAGCATAAAGAATGAACTGGGAGGTCTTTGAAGAGAATTCTGGTGCATAGAGTACACAACCTAGGAACTGAGGGAAGATGGGAGTTATTTATGTAGCGTTCATTTGCATGCAGAGGCCTTGTTTATACTAGAGATTTTTTCCCATGGACTTTCAGCAGCACCAGTTGCAACTGGGAGGAAACACTGGAAGAAGCTATTGGTGGAAACTAGTATTTTGCTACCATCTTATTGTGAGTGGTAGTTTGCAGTGTAAGAACGAGAAAGGTCCTGCAGCCCTGCCAAGTCTTGGCAGGGGCACGTTGTGCTGAAGCTTTCATCCTTTGTGCACTCCAGTGTTCCTCTGGAATTCTCTGCTGGAGCGGAAACGAAAAGTCGCCCAGTACAAGCCTCAGCACAACATTTCCTCTGCTGCTCTCTGTGCCCTGCGACATGGGAGGAGGCAGCATGAGCCATGACCGGAGCAGTCGGTGACGGAGCCGTCTGAGCACAGGGGCAGCCCCACAGCACGGGCAGGCGGTTACTCATTGCTTCTGCCGCTCCAAAAGGGAACCAGGAAGGAGGATGAGGAGTCACAGCTCTGTATTTTCCAGGCTCTGACAGAGCTGGTTACTGTAGTTATTCATTAGTAAAGGGATACAAACTGAAACTGCCTTCCTACTACCACATCTGATTCTGGTCTCCAGTCTGTGATTAAAAGCACTTGCCCCAGGGAAAAAACCTTGAGCTACCTAACACTTAAAGTTGTCCTTGGAGTGTGGGGAGAGAGAGAGGGCGGTAAGAAAAGTAGCAACTCCAGGTGCTATGTCTGCTCCCTGGCATCTTACTGTCTTGTGTCTTGTACCGGGCTCTTTTGCCAGTTGCATATGAATTACTCCAGGGAACCTGGGAGGAGTTCCGTGGTATTCTCCAGGCGTTAGCGGAGCAGTCTGCTTGCAGACTTCAGGACATACAGAGTGCACAGGCTGTAGGACATTACTCCCAGCGTGCCTGAAATGACATGTTTTCACATTACTCTGCTGAAACTGCAATCCACTCTTTTGCAGTTGGTATTTAAGATGCGCTCTCACAGTAAAGCTTAAATCCATATTCCTGACTGAATGGATGCTTGTAGAATTACTAGCAGTACTCCATTAGGCACACATTAGATTCCCAGTTCATAACAGACTGGAAAACCTTGTCTCATCATGTTCTGTGCTCCCACTGGAGGGAATGCAAATGCAATAGGTAGAACAGGGAAGCTGCTGTTCTTAGCTTTCCATTATGCAGAGCTAGACAACTTTAAATTTGCTAATCCAGTGGATTATTAGCTACATACAGCTGCCATGTTATTATATGATCACCAGAGTTCAAACTAATCCCTCTGCCACCTTTTGCCCTGGCAGGGAAGATGATGAAATTAGTTTGCTACTTGAATAAGTACACAGTGCTCTGACAGGCGCGTCGAGTTGCTGTTTATGAGAGTCCAACTCATTGCACAGCTCCAAGCACCCGGTGCAGGCAGGCGTTCCTCCGCCTCCCAGGGAGAAGCCGCACGCCACATCTGCTGTCTCCTGCTGCCCGAGGCCATCCAGGTCTGGGTGTCTGGCAGCGCTCGCTCCGACTCCTGCGTTCAGAGTCAGCGTTCTGGTGGAGCTGGCTTTCTCCTGAAGTGGATTCATCTGCAGATATTTGAGCCTTCTCAGCACTCTAGGGAGCTCATGTACAATATAAGATTTTTCTTCCTGCAGAAGTGGCAGCTAATGTGAAGAATGTGAAAGTTCTTCTTGAGGGCCCAAATAGCTCCCTGATTCAGCAGGATCACCCTTTGCCTAGACGCATGACTTGTCGCTGCCTGTTAACTAAATAGCCAAGTTCTCCCCTTAGCCAGGTAAAGGATCTCACAGAATTTAAGAGGAAAGAGGTCGTGGAGCCCACACAACACAGACAGTAACAGGAAAGCTTTGCTGAAGACACCTATGGGTAAAGATGAGTTTTGTAAGACACAGAACATTTTCTTGAAGCTCCTGAGGTTGCTTGGGAAATCTTGCCCTGAGACACCAGGGAATGGCTTTATGTGAAGGGTTAACATCACAACACGTCCTGCATCCATTGCCCTGCTTCCGCAGAGCGAGCACTGGCCAGAGGAGACACAGTCAGAGCAACTCTACCCTCAGTGCAGCACCTCACAGCCAGTCAAGCAGCCCTTGTGAAATGCTGCTATTTTGAGTGATGAGTTGGACAAGGACATGACAGGAGTAAGCGTCAAAGCCTGTCATCCCCACAGACGGCCTGCTGCCAGCAATTCCCCAAGTCACTCCATTTAATTACCTTTACAGCGCAGAATCAGTTTCCCTGGAATTTGCACTTGAGATTCTAAGAAGCCTAGAAATTTCAGGTCTGATTGGAAGGTCTAGCTTGGACCTAAGCAGGTATTAACACTCAGAAAGGAGCCAGATGTTGAATTATTTAATCATTTCATAAGGGAACAGCCAACTGGTGCTATGCCCATCCAAGCACCAGGATGAACAAACAGGAGGCAGGCATCCAGACTAATGTGTTTCTTCTGTTACCTCCACATTTCTTAGGCCTAATTTAATTGAGAAGTCTTTTTCCCCAGAGGCCAGTGTGCCAGAGAAGCAGAAACATTTATAAATCTTGACGCAGGATACAACAGAAATGCCTGAGTTCTCCTTGGCATGAGAACTGCGTTCTCACTTCAGCCTCCCTGTTACCCTGATCGTTCTTGCTGCATCCACACTCTTAAGCAGAGCCTCAACGCTTTGCAATTTCTCCACACAGTATTCTAGCGAGGAAACGCACTCTAGCCACACTGTAAGTCATATTGACTGTCAGGTATCAACTGGTAGTGTTGAAGTGTGACATGACATCAGTTTAAATCAGGATGAGTGAAAGTTACAATCCTACAGTGCAACCTTGCGCAGCGGAGGCAGCAGGGACGGCCACACAGAGCCTGCTTCTCCCGCACCCCAGCAGCTCCCAGTCTGAACGCTGGGCTGGCTTCATAAGGCAGCTTGCACTTAAAGCCACACCAGGCTATAAACTCCAGTGGTTCAGGAGCAAATATGGATGTCATTTATCTGCTCTTGCTACAGGAGAGGAACCAGGTGGACAGCTAGCAGAGGACAGGGTGTCTGTCTTCAGCCATCTCAGTTCAATTTATCACTGCGTGGCAGGCTTGGAAGGTAGAGACATTTAATAGACTTGTTCATGACATTCTTCTAGAACACGGTTCCTTTAGTTTTCCCAGACAGACAGCCTTAATGCAGAGGAGAAGTTCACCAAGATAACTGCTGAATAGATTTCTCTGATGTATTCTGCCTATAAGACCAAGTTATTATGCTTGGAGCTAAGTTTTCCTGCCAGCTTCATGTTAATCTGAGCTGGAGTTGTGATCAGCACTAAAAAAAGATAGAAGCTGAACTCCCAGCTGCTGGGTTCTTGGTTCATCTTTGCAGCCTCTC